ACTTGAACGTTGTGGGCCTGGAAGTAGGGTTTGAGTTTTCTGGCTACGGTGATGAGGGCCAGAGCCAACTTTTCGAGATTGGAGTACTGGGTCTCTATGCCGCTGAGGACCTTGCTGGTGTAGTAGATCGGCCTCTGTACCCGGTCCTCTTCTTTGACCAATACTGAGTTGATGACCTCATCCCCAGCCGAGAGGTAGAGCAATAGCTCGTCTCCTGGGTTCGGCTTAGTTAGGAGGGGCAGCGAGCTCAGGTACTACTTTAGTTCCTAGAGAGAGTGCTCACAATTTCTGTCCAATGAAAGTCCTTTGGCTGTTTGAGTGCTTTGAAAAAGGGGAGGCTCCGGTCCGTAGACTTGGACATAAACCTGCCATGGGCAGTTATTCTCTCGGTGAGCCGTTTCACTTCTTTGTGGGTCCGGGGGGATGGCTTGTCAAGAATGGCTTTTATCTTCTCTAGATTTGCTTCGATTCCTCTCTATGTTACCATAAACCCCATAAACTTGCCAGAGCCAACCCCGAAGGCGCACTTGGTTGGGTTTAACCTCATCTTGTACTTTTTAAGTGTGTTGAAGACTTCGCGGAGGTTGACCAGGTGGTGTTTGGCCTTTTTGCTCTTCACGAGCATATCGTCGACATACGTCTCCATGTTCCTGCCGAGTTGTTCTTTGAATACCTCGTTCACCCGCCAATGATAGGTGGCACCGACGTTTTTGAGGCCAAAGGGCATTACCTTTTAGCAGTACAAACAATGGCTAGTGATAAAGGCCGTTCGCTCTTGGTCGTCCGGGTCCATCCGGATCTGGTTGTAGCTTGAGAAGGCGTCCATGAAGCTTAGAAGCTCATGTCCTGTTGTTGCGTCGACGAGCTGGTTAATCCTTGGCAGGGGAAAGTTGTATTTGGGACAGGCCTTTTTTAGGACGGTAAAGTCGATGCAGATTCTCCACTTTCCATTGGCCTTCTTCACCATCACTATGTTGGCCAGCCAATCAGGGTATTTGACTTCCCTAATGAAGCCGACGTCGAGCAACTTCTGTACTTCATCAGCGATCACTTTCCACCGCTCTGTGGCGAAGTTTCTCTTCTTCTACTTCTCAGGTCGGTAACTGGGGTTGACGTTCAACTGATGTGTGATAACTTTGGGATCGATTCCAGGCATGTCCTCTACCTACCAAGCAAATACAACGATATTGTTCCTCAGTAGTTGAACAAGCTCCTCTCGGAGGTGGTCGCCTAGCAGGGAGCCAACTTGAGCTGTCCTTTCCGGATTTTCCTCAAATAGGGGGACCTGGACGAGGTCTTCCACGGGTTGGCCACGCTGTGCCTTTACTTCGTCATGCAGGTCATACGCTTCCGCCATGAATGTCTCGGTCACTGGACGTGGTCCTCGATAGGATAATTGATAGTAATGTCATGCTGTTTTCTATTCTCTGCGCACCACCCCTATGGCATTCTTGGTTGGAAATTTCATGGCGAGGTGGTATGTTGAGACTACGGCCTGCAAGGCGTTGAGGGTCGGCCTGCCGAGGATCACGTTGTAAGAGGAGGGGCAACACACCACGATGAAGTCTACCATGGCCGTCGTAGTCACGCTGCCATCTCCGATCAGGAGGGGAAGAGTTATCCTCCGAGTGGGTTGGAGGGCGACATCCTTTTGCCGAGCCTTTCTTTGGTAGGGATGCACGCTGACTGGTATGTCGGTTTGTGGTAGTCCCGTCCTTGGGAACAGGTAGTGGTGGCGGGCCATCGGGTTGTGTCTTGCCTCATACACTCGGGCCACTCTCCCCTTACGTTTGACCAGTGCTCTTTGGGGTCCTCGGTCCGAGGATTGTTGTTCATGCGCGTCGGGGTGTGAGGGGGGACAACTCGATTGGGTGGCGTGGCAGACTCTAGTGTTTGCATGAATTCGAACATCTTACCAACCTTTTCCCGCATGGCTTGGAATTGTGTTGGATCTATTGCGACCGAAGGTTGCGGGACTTCTTGGTTCTTCCGAGACGGGGAATGGCCAACTAATCTTTCAGATTGGTTTTTAGACATCTTAATCGCTTCCTTAATTGCGCGGCAAGGAATGAAATTTTCGGGAAAAGATTTTTTGTGTCGTTCCCACAGATGACGCCAATCTGATGCTGCTCAATCCGAGGAGGGCAATCAGATAGTCCTCGTTGGAAAGGCGGGGCCGAGCTTCAAGGACAAGGCCGCGTTTCAAGATCGAAGAAGTTAGAGGCCCGAGGAATTGCCCCTAGGTCAGTAGTCCGGCGCTCAAGTCAGTAGGAGGTGATGGACGGTCGGGCCAAGTTATAAGGATGCTAGTCCAGGCTAATTAGTAGTGTGGATGTTCGAATTCCAAAGTCCCTTACCTCGAGCATGGAGTACCTTTTTATAGCCAGAGGGTCCGCATCCTGATCGAAATAGGTTTATAGAGAAATTGGGGCAGAATTCCCTACCGAGGTTACAGGAGGTAGAGTCCTACTCCTCGACGGAGTTGTCTTCCTATCCCTATCCGTTAGGTGGGCTTATTCGTGGGATGTAGTTGACGTAATCAGCGGAATCACGACAATGTCATAGCCCAGTTGGACTGTGCGGACGTGGCCGAGCTGTAACAGATGGCCGGGGCCTCATCGCTAGCTCAGCCATGTCCTCAACAACTTATTTATTCAATGTTGTAGGATTAGTTTAGGCAATGCCTCAATCTTAGGCCAAGTCAAATTTAATTAGGATTCATGCTTTTTTTAACCTTAATTTCAAGAGAAACTTACAAAATTTTGACTTGTTTTCATTCACCGTCCTTCCTCTCTCTTCCCCCCCCCCCCCCAAAAAAAAAAAAAAAAAAAAAAAAATCCGCTTTAAAAAAGGGAATCATGAAAATGATGATTTCTCCTTTTAATTCGATTTTAATCATCATTTTCTGAACCAAACATCAAAATAATAAAATCGACATCAGTTACAAAAATGAAAAAATTCTATTTGGTGCTGAATTGGTGCAATGGAACCAAAACACCATCTATTTATCCCCACATCCTTCCAAACTACGGCACAGTTATCGCTATGGGTACTTTTCCGGTTTTCGGAGGGAGGCCAACAAACAATGAATGTTTTGATTTTTGCCACGCGTTATATCTATAGGGTTGGAGCCTTGGAGGGCAGTAAGGCGAGTCACCATGGAATCACACCTGGTTCAGCTGAGCCTGCTCTCATTCCCATGTATGTATATGTATGTAAACCTGTATGTTTCATACTTTCATTCTTTTTCAATGTCGTCCCTTTAACTTTCCTCAGCCTTTCACTTTCTTCACAACATGCCGCTAGATTCCCCAAATCCCGCTTATGTTGACACCTCACGATCATTTTAACGTTGCTTTCGTCATCCAATGCCCGTTTCTTGTTTGGACGCGCAGAAAGTTTTGCTCCGATAGGACTAAAGCCACTCTCAGTTTGTTCCGATTCCGATGAACCGTCTGCCCGGCCGGTCTGGTTGGTCAAGACAGAATTTTGGATAAGGAGGTGTAGCTTGTAGGTAAAAGAGAATAGAGAGAGAAGGTAGATGGAAAAAAGGAAAACCCAATACAAAAGCAGCGTCAAAATCACGCAAATCTCTATACAAAAGCACCGATAGTCGCGACACGCTTTCGCATCGCAAGGTGGTGTGAGTCATGTAGGACTGGCGTGTCACCTATAATGAAGCTTCAACGGACACGTGTCACGCCAAAGATTGAGATGGTATGTTGCACATGAAGATACGACACGTGTAAAAACCGTACCATCTCGCGTTCGTATTCAATCGATTTTTTCCGTACGGAGGCCCCCGTTCTGTGCCTTGCTTTTGTCCGAACCCTGAAGGCCGTATTAAAAGCCCATGTTTCAATGCACTGGTTTAGGTTTGTCCCCCTCGTCGCCCTTCAATTCACCTTCCCATTACCACTTTATGACGAGATTGCCCCTGAATTTTTTGGACAGTCCTTCAGATGTCCCGGAGAAAGATAAGTTTCAATTTTGTAACTGTGGGTAAACTAGTGGGGCCTTTTAAATCTGACCCATCGATCTTTAATCAGCATCAAATAAAGAGTAGACAATACATAATGGACTATAATAGCACCTGCAGTGCATGCATGTGCTTAGAGAGAAAATTTGTATGGTTCCCAAAAACAACAAGGGTCCCACCAATATATGGTTAGGAGTTTGTGAGGCCATTTAATACCGTATATCATCTCTTCACTCACTCCAAATGTCGGTTAAATGGTCTATGCAGCATTGGGCCTCTGGGGCATTTATGTAATTCCGCTTTTGTGTCGGTAGATAGAAGACAGTTTCTGTACAGACTTCTAGGCCCTTTATTAAATGCGAACCATGATCCTGCGTGGGTGTCACACTACAGGGCGCATGCTAGTCCTATAAGTAATCAGGAATCTAAATTGCGCTAGGGGCAACTGGGAACAAAAAGGGACGTCTACCCGCTCTAAAGGTCGCTCCACCTAGCGCGTTCCGAACCGCCATGTGTAGTTCGGCCTTAGCCCGTCCTGTAAATGCCTTTCTTTTCTTTCTACTAAAGTTGGATCAGAGAGGTTCATGGGGACATGTCCTCACTCCTCAGTTCAGGATTTCCAGTGTACGCCCTATGCGCATGGATACCATCCGCTGCATAACTTACACGTGTCCCACTAAACTGTCCCACATCAACTGTCCTTTTCCGAGTTTTCCCGCCATAAAAAGGAAAAAAAATCTAATGCGCGATATCTCCTTAAATATCGTCAGTAAATTTCGGAGATTACGGGATTTTACTCCCGACTTCTCGCGTTCCACCGCCTCAACGAAAAGGATCCAAGCACCCGCCAGGCCCAAAGGGTCATTATTTAACCGTAGTGGGAGTCCGGGCAGCCAACCTCGTAGGTTTTAACCTAACCACGGTTAAATCAACTCAACCACGGTTAAGACCCTCCCTCCCCATCTGTTTATATTCCATCGAACATATTTCAAACGTATTCATGTCTGAAAACAGGAGACCGATAGGATGATGATCGGAGAAGGAAATCAACAGAATCCGACCGTCCATGTCCCTCCCTGGACCCTCTTCGATGATACTTCACCCGGAATGAAATTCCCTCTCCCTGTTAGCGGCATCTCCATGAACGCCAACAGCAATGGCATCGCGGCCGGAGACTACTGTCCCTTCCTGTTGGGGGAGTCGTTGGCTGCTCTGCAATGTTATCTTCCTTCAAACGATGTAGATGCCGACTCCGACTTATCGGGCCGTGAGTCCGATATGCCGATCAACGTACACACCTGTGATGAGTTTCGAATGTACGAGTTCAAGGTGCGCCGCTGCGCTCGCGGCCGTTCTCACGACTGGACAGAGTGTCCCTTCGCTCATCCCGGCGAGAAAGCTCGACGCCGTGACCCACGTAAGTTCCACTACTCCGGCACTGCATGCCCCGACTTCCGCAAGGGTAACTGCAAGAGGGGTGACGCGTGCGAGTTCGCACACGGAGTATTTGAATGTTGGCTCCATCCGGCGCGATATCGTACGCAGCCCTGTAAGGATGGTACTAGTTGCCGCCGTCGCGTCTGTTTTTTCGCTCACACCCCGGAGCAGTTACGAGTGCTACCCCAGCAAAGTCCGAGAACGCCAGTGTCGCCTGAGTCTTATGACGGATCACCGCTTCGTCAGGCTCTCGATTCTTACTTTCAGAAGAATACGGTGATTTCGTCCCCTACATCGACCCTGATGTCTCCTCCGATGTCCCCGCCATCCGACTCGCCACCCATGTCGCCGAACAGCCCATCACTCAGCCGGCTTTTGGGTTCCAACTCCATCAACGATGTGGTCACGTCCATGCGTCAGTTGCAGCTTAGTAAGGTGAAATCTGTACCCACGTCGTGGAGTGTGCAGGTTGGTTCTGGGTTTGTATCGCCGAGGGGCTCGACCCTTCGCCCGGGGTTCTTTAGCTTGCCATCGACTCCCACTCGGACCCCGACTCGATGTGGATTGGGGTACCTTGATACCTGGGATGGGGGTTCCACTGTTGAGGAGGAGCCAGCCATGGAGAGGGTGGAGTCTGGTAGGGATTTGCGAGCGAAGATTTACGAGAAACTGAGCAAAGAAAACTCTTTGGACCCAGTCGATTCGCCCTCTCCGACTCCGGATGTTGGGTGGGTGTCGGAACTGGTGAAGTGAGTGGGGTTGGTGATAGGGTCCTCCGTCTTTCCACTTTCTGGTTTTTTGATTAAATATTTTGCTTTCAAAACCGCCGCTTCTGGGTTCGTTCGGTTGCCCTAATTTTTCAGATTGTGAATAGTAAGGTGAAAGATGAATTGCAGCAGGTTCAGCACGAGTAACTGAAGATTTTTGTATATATGTAGACGGTGGTGGATTCAGATGAAGCTGGGTCCTCTAGTTTTTCTGAGAAGAGAAGCTCAGGCGAAAATGAAAATATGCCAAGTTGTATAGACAAGAAGTAATTGTTGGGTCTGCCGGAGATGGGTAGCAGATTGTCATATCTTCTATATTTTTAATCCTTCTGTGTATTTTGCTTAGTTACTACGATCAATCCTGATTTTATGATATCTGTAATCTGATCTGAAATTATGTTCTTATGTCTTGAGCCATTAATGTAATATATTTATTTTGCCAATCTCTGTACAAATGCTGTCGATTGCAGCAGATTTTCTTGCATAGTAGTTTTCAACCGGATGTGTTCGGATTCTGCACGACTGCACGTCGTACCTGGTAGTTGGCTTCAGTGTTCCGAGTCCCGTCTAGAAACGTGGGTAGTTGGGTCGGTGCGTCAATTTTAAGCCTCTCTCATGGCGCCACTCTCTTACCTTGTAGAGCTCATTTTATCCCCTGATACGAACTTGTCCTTCAAACTGGAATTCTGCTACAGAAATCTATGTTCATCTTCTCCTCTGACTCTCTCCTCTCATAGAAGACCTTCAGATTAACTTCATGAGGTGGTCTAATGACTCTTTCTTTGGCTATAAGATACAAATTACGAGTCGTGAAAATTTTTGTAATGGGAAATGTTGGCGTACAGAGGGAGAGGATATATATGGAAGTCTGGGCGAATCGGCCCCATTGAACTGGGCTCATCTTGATCTTGTCGTATCCCATCGGATATCTAAACTTCACAAGTGAACCATATCTGCCATCGTCGGGTACTCCACGTGGAAAGTAGAAGACGAAAGCCCTTTCCGACACGCAAGATTGCAAGAATACAGACATGGGCGACGGTAGTAATATTTAATGCAAGAATTGGGGGTTTTTTGGGAAGATAATTGTTTTTGCTCGAGTATGGGGGTGAGAGCTGAGAACGTCATTTTCATGTGGTTAAAGCGAAAGACTCGGTTCTTCAGTCTTCTTTTCTTTTGCTTGGGAGTGGGGACTGTAGAGGGATTAAACAAAAATATTTTGGGGTCTTTTTCATTGTTTTGCATGTGTTGTGTTGCGTGTCATCGAGCTTTGGCATTTCACATGACGCTGATCGTTCCATGTGTGGGCTTTTCTTTGTTTGTTTATTAATTACAGGTTACCACCACTTTGGGATATTGACATTAATCTCCCTAAATTTTCAGGTTCTATCGCTTTGAACCCTCTTTCGATTTGATTAACGGAAAAAAATTACGGCTAGTTTTGGAAATGCTTAAAAATAAGTCCAAAAATAAGCACTTAGTATTGGGATTTAGAAATGTTTTAACATTTATTAAAATACATAGATTTATTAAAACAATCACTTAGTATGGGGATTTTTAACGAACACATGAATTTAGTAAAAAATCACTTATTTTGAAACATTTATTCAATAAGTATTGATTTTTTAAATAAGCACTTTCAAATTCTGTTAAAACACTTTCAATGGTTGAGAGAACTCCAATTCAAATCAAAATGATAAAAATGGACAGGGTATAGTGCGTTAGTATGGGGATTTAGAAATGTTTAATCAGTACATAATGATATGTAATTTGAGAATGTTCTCTGAAGCCATCTGATAATTAGAATACTAATAGAAGGGGCAAAGTTTTGAAATGTGAAAGTGGATGGGGTCACAAATGAAAGTTCAAGGGCCAAGTGTCCCTATCCCAAAGTCATGGCGATAACCTATAATTTATTCCTTTTTTAAGATCGCTGCCGTTGATAATTACTAAACCGGATGTACTTTAACAAAAAATATAGGATGGAGTCCAAAATGGACAATTATGTTAAACCGGGTAAATACAAAATACTAATAGTAGCTTTCACTCTTCCAACCAAATAGTCTCAAAATGGATTCTCACCGGTTGTATGGCCTGATACTGACATCCACCTTGCTTCTCTCTTATTGAGTCTCAGTCCCAACTCCCAAGTGATGAACGGATGATCACGATGTATGATGAAGAAAATGGAAAAAAAAAAAAAAAGTCAGTCGGAACCTAATTGCACATACCAGTATTATTGAGGTTTGAATTAATCCATCCATATTAGAATCACCTCCTTAATCGGAACGGATACGCTCTCATTGTTGATTGGCCAAGTGGCAAGTTACTATCTCAATTTGTATCCTATGAGTGATGAACAACAATATATAGGCTACACATGGTTTACTGACTTAGATATATAAACAATTTCGGTTTCAACCGTAATTTTTTTTTCGCTTCATGCGGCTAAACAACAGGGGTAGCCCATTCCCTTTCCCTTAACCCCCCCAAAGGTCTCTACTCCGACGAGTCAGAGAACCTATCAACTGAGCCACCATCAGTTGCCGGTTTCAACCGTAATTGCTTTACAAGAATCGATGCTTGAATTCAGAATCGGAATGGCCTATTTGTTTCCAACCGTTTGGTTGATCGTAATGGGATTACAATTCCCATTTTAGGAAGAATGGGATTCCCACATATGCAAAAATGGCCATTTCGACCCCTTGAATGTGATTTCCATTCTAGATGCGGGAAAATGTATGATGCAGGAAAGAAATGGTATAGGAAGAGTTTTGACCGATCAAAATTAGAGTTCACCCCACAGAACCCAAAAAATGCCCCACATGCACATCTCAGCATGCATTGAGAATATCTCTTGTATTCATTGGGAGATGTTCCCAACACACGGTTGGAATGTGTTGTGGGATTTTTTGGGGCGCATTCTGTGGGGGCAAATGTGACTTCTCAAAACTCACCCATGAATTTTGATAAATAACACCTGATTGGCTATTGCATTTATGATTTCATTTGATTGGTCAAAAGTTTTTCAGATATTTGATATCATAGTCGAACCTTTTTCTTTTCTTTTCTGTTGACAAAAGGAACCCCACTCATTCTAATGCCCTATTCGACCGTAAGTCCCCAGACCTTCCTCCATCTAAAGTAGCTGCTAATGACCACCATCTCCAGTGAGATAAAACCAGTCACTGGCCAATTGTTCTTTTCCCATCTCTCTACTATTCTTTTCTTTCATCTTCTTCCTCCTCCACTATGTTGGTAGGGGTGTCCATGAAAAACTGAAAAACCAAACCAAGAAAATCGAACTGCAAAATGTGGTTAACCGAACCGTTTGGTTCAGTTTTGATTCGAAATTTTTGAAAAATCGAAGAACCGGTTCGATTTTCGGTTAACCTACAAAAAACTAACGGTTAACCGAATTGATTGGTATATATATTTATATGTATATTTTATACATATTGTTAATATGTCATATTTTTTATGTATTATATATAAATATATATTCATTATATATATAAATATATACTTATATTATATTTATAATGATCTATTTATAAATATATTATATATCATTTATTATTTATAATATAATATTATACATATATTTATATAATATATATTATAAATATAAAAAACCGAAAAACCGAAGAACCGAACTGATCGAAAACCAAAACCAGTGATACGATTTGGCAAAATGGAAAAACCGGTACTACTGGTTTGGTTTACAAAAAAGGGCCATGGTTTGATTAACTGAACTGTGGACACCCCTATCTGGTGGCACTACTACCACTAATACTGCTGGTGGTTTCTATTAGCAAATCCCTCTTCTTTCTCCCCTCACCTTTCTATTTTTTCTCTTCTCCCCCAATCTTTCAAATCTCCACCCAACCAAATAGAGTAGATCTGTCCCTCTTCTTCTTCATCTTCCAAATCCCCATTGTTACCACTATGAACAGGTGCAAAACTAGAGATTTCAGCCTACTTTAATTCCAGCTTCCAGTTGAACCAAATAGCAACAATTCAAATTCAAATTCAAATCCAATTCCAATTCTTGTTTGAATCAAACGGGCATTGGGAATAGGTGATTCCGGTTCTGATTTCAATCAACCAAACAGATCCTAAGTTATTAACACTTGGTCGTGCACTTTTTGGGGGTGTTCAACGTAAATTGATTTTGTTGTTGTGAGTTTCAAAAATAAATTAAAACCACATGTTTTTAAAACAATTTATATCGTAAAATAAAAATATATAAAAAAGAATATATTCTTAGGGAGGTATTTGGTGGAAATATGTATTACCACATCATATGTGAGTGTGATTTCAACTAGTAAAATGCATGTGAATGAGAAACATCAAATTTGATGTAAGATAAAATAACAATTTGTATTGATCAAATAAATATGTTTTCACTTATCAAAACATTTCAAGTAGTTGAATAAATTTGTATTTATCAACCCAAAACGCAACACCAATATATCAAACACCAGACCTCCTTAGCTATAACTTATAAGTGGTGTGTGTTTTCTTTTCTAAAAGTGAACCTTAAAATATGTTATTGAACTTCTGGTTTGAAATACATATTTTTATTCTAAATAATAGAATAAATCCCACCATCTTTCATAGATTTACACCAATAAAAGACATGATTTGTATTTTGTCTCAAAATAAAATTATACTGTTTAAGAACATTTTTTTTTGTTTTTTTTCTCTGAGATGGCACTTTCAAAAACAAAAGAAAACAAATTCCACTTATTCATTCATTATTAGTAGACTCAAATTCCAAATTCGGACAAATCACGAAAAAGGAGAACCAATCACTTCGGACAAGTACATGATAATGACTTCTATGCTTACACACTAATGCTTTGTCTTTTCATTAGGGATGTGCCCAAATCAGTATCTCTCTATGACACAAATTATATATTTCATTGTTTTTTTATTCAATTTTCAGTCCAATTAGAGCTCTCTAATTAGTATTTTTGTATAACTAATATTTTTTCCCCAGCAGTATTTGCCAAAAATTCTTCACCCATCCAATTCAATGCGGTTACATCACCGATTGTTTTTCAATACCTCTCAAACTTAACCCATGCCCCGTTACAGTGTTACCCGCCCCAATCAGCCACGGTATCTCCTCTAGGCAAAAACTCTGTACAGACTCTTCAAGCATAGACATTCAGTTATATATTGGGAATATCTCTTTATATATATATATATATTTATGGAAAATTATGTAACCCTCTCTACTCTCTGTAATGAGACATGAAGATCAAAGAGATATTTGGTAGGGACCACTTTTGAAAAGATAAAGGCCACCTAGGTGAAGTTTAGTACCAGGCATAGGCAATTCCTTGGATCAAATTTTCAGAAATCGCCAATTTCTAGGATCACTGATTTCTCAAAAATTAGAGAAATTGTTTGTCTGGAACCATTACTGCCATGGAAGTCGATTTTTCCAGAATGAGTTTGTTTGACTATGATTAT